GTTTATTTGCAAACGTTAGCGTTGATATTTTATTATCTTTATTGTTATTATTATTATTATTATTATTATGTGCTTTGTAATAAAACGAATTTCTATTTTTAATAATATTATAATAATTATTATTATTTCTATTTTAATATAATAATTTAATCAATATGTTTATAATCATTTTGATGATTTGTAATAATTATAATTTACTATTATTAGTATTATTATTATGTGCAACCTTTATAATAATAACACTAATAAAAACAAGTAATAAAATGTTTATAATTATAATTTTATTGTTGATTATTATTATAATGATTATTATTATTGGATGACAAAGGTTTTAAATGTACAAGATTAATGTCAAAGTTCTTGCACCTTACATAATGTTATGTCTAATTACAATGAAATAATGATTGTGCAGTAGATGTGGGCGCACTGGGCAGACATTAGTAGCAGTATTCTACACTCAAGCCCATATTTTATAATATCAGCGCAGCATGGCCCCGCCCCCTTTGCTATTTATCTAGGTTTGTTACGTCACGAACCCGGGAAGTAACTCGTTGTAGTCCCTACCAGCCATTTTTGTAGGCATTAAACTGCAGAAGACGATATCTCCGTTTGCATTGAACTTTCAGCTTCGTAACTTTGCAGATATTGTGTATGCTCAAACAGCAACATTACACACTAACTAACGTTAAAAACTTTTTCATTTCAGCTAGACAGTATTTCTAATTTTCATTTAGTTGAACTTGATGTACTAAAATAGCTAAAACTAAAGTACAAAATAATAAAAACTATAGGCACATCCAGTAAAAATAACAAAATTAACAAGAAAACAGAAAAATAACATTTAAAACTTATAAAAATATTATAATAACACTGGATGCATAATAACACTGGAATGAGAACTTGGTTGAAAAATGTGCTTAAATGTCACAATGCAAAGCAAATCTAAAATTAACTTACTGCATTAAATTGGGGGTGAAAATGAAGCCTGAATGACGGGACACTGCTGGCTCGAGGGGCTCTGTGATCATGTGAACACGGGAACAAGAGACTGGCCATTGGATGAGCGCATCTGACATCCCTAAAGGGACCCTGGATGCTGCGAGACACAGACGTGCCGAGCACCAGCGCTGTTCCTCCAACATCCGAGAGCGGAAATCCAATCAAGTAGGTCATTCATGCATAGATACGCACGCATATTTTGTGTTTTTCCACTACAATGAAAATTAATTTATGTATAATAATAAATTATATAATAACTATTATATTTAAATAATAAATTAATTATATTTTTAGTGTATATATACTAAAGATATTTTATTATATTAATTATTAATACACTTCAATTATATATATATATATATACACACACAAAATGCAGCTAATTGACATTAAGCAGTTTTATCAATTCTATTCTATTCTAATCCTGCTCATTTTGATTGTTTTGTTGGATTAATGTGAATTTCTTTGAATTGCAATTCCGTAAATTCCATTCCCTGTCGTTCCAAATCAATATCCAGTATGCTGCTGCCTAATCAATTTCTAACATTTTTTTTTTTTGCTCAACCCAGTGCTCTACCAGTTAAGCGGAATGAAGGGCCAGAGAGAGCGACTGGTGGTTTAATGCAGCAGAAATCAAAGGTTGGCAATGACCTCTAAAGAAAATCAGAATGATCCTAAATCAGTTTCTCATTTGTTTCTCAGTCAGGGGTTAACGTGGGCAGGATAGCAGGGGTTCGGCTCAGCAGAACTTCTGGCGTCGTGGCAACGACCCAGGACGTGTGGGCATTCGGAGTTCTACTGTTCTGCATGCTGACGGGAAACTTTCCGTGGGAAGCGGCGTTGCCTAGCGACGCATTCTTTTCGGAATTTCAGCGATGGCAGCGGGGGGCGTTTCCTCCCGGCGTTGTTCCCTCCCAATGGCGGCGGTTTTCAGATGATGCTTTGCGAATGTTTGGCCGGCTGTTGGCGTTGGAGCCGGAGCGGCGCTGTGGGGTTAAAGAGGTGTTCTACTTCCTCAAATACGACCTGCTGAATCATCACCGCCGCAGAGCTTCCTGTAGGGTGCCTAGGGGCGGTTCAGCACGATGCTCCGCCCACAGACACACAGAGCCCTCTCCGCCTTCAGGCACTTCCTGTCTACGCCCCACCCCCCTCAAACGTAGCATCCTGTCCGAACCGCATTCTTCTAGGGAGGAGTCCTCCAAAAGCCCATCGCCCAACCGCCAAGACAAGAGCAAAGTGATGATGACCACTCCTATTGAGATTTGTGTATGAAGCCAAAACTGGATATCTCACTCAAAGCTGATCAAAAAAGGTAGCAATATTACTTCGGAACTACTATTGGGAAAATGTTTGCACAGGAACGTCAGCGTATTTCATAATGGAAGTTAGAATAGTAATAGAACTGCCATAAATGTAGATCTAGCAAAACTATTACATGGTGACTTTGAAACCTCGCTAATTTAGAGTAAAAGACATAGCTTTGGTAGGTCACTTTAGCACTAGAAATGAATCAGCTTCTCTAGGATAGCGTATTGAATTAATTAAAACTGCTTTCATTTTAAAGGAATAGTTCACTCCAAAAAGAAATGGAAATTCTGTCATCATTTACCTCATGTCATTCCTAAGCCATAGGATTTTCTTCTTCCATGGATCGTGAATAAAGAAATTCTGCACGATACTCCATAATGGATCCTGAAATGACATAAAAGTACCATATTCTGAGTCCTCTAAAGCCATTATAGGTTTATGTGAGGAAAAGTCCAAAATGTAAGTCATTAAAATGGTACCTGTAGGAGTACAGCAGCTGGGTCAGTACACTTAAAGGGACAAATTTGTACCTTATTTACCCCTAAAATGTGCATATTAGTACCATAGAGTAGTATAATGTATTAATATGCACCTTTGTCTGTAAATTAGGTAAATAAATACCACTTAAGGTACAATTTGTGCACTTTTTTCTGAAAGTTGAAGATGCATTGCGTCTGGTCATTGACATCAGTTCTAATGTATCTTGATGTGTTCTATTCGAATTGAATGATATTTGAGAGATACTGAGGGAAACATTTGTTTTGATCTGTTTCTCACTCAAAGCTGATCATCATGTGGTTTTACAGGACTTAGAATATATTATATGAGTCGTATAAACTAGTTTTATAGTGCTTTTTTGTCTTTCTTGAAGCAAGTGTTATTTTAGGATCATTGATATTCTATTATAGTTTTGTTGATATTTTGAATCAGATTTTATTTTTATATTCTTTATGGTTTTGATTTTAGTTAATATTTTAGTAATTTTGTTGTGTTTGTGTGTGTTTCTTATATATATATATATATATATATATATATTAGTTTTAGTTTATTTAGTTTTAGTTATTTTAGTACTTCAACTTAAAGTAAATGAAAATGAAAACTGTCTTGGCAACTAGCTGAAATAAAATAAGTTTAAGTTTTATTAATATATTCAGTTAAGGAATTTTTTTTATGGTTTTAGTTTTAAATGACATGACACAGAGTAAATTACGTTGAGTGAACTAAACCTTTAATATAAAGTTGCTTCTAGGGCTGCACGATCAATCAAAATAAATTCATAATTGCAATATGGCTTAGTGCGATAATCAAATTTTAAAGGATGCAGTTTAAATAAAATGAAATAAAAATAAAATTATTATATAATTTTTAAATACTTTTAATTAAAATGTATAATTATAATTTTTTACATATTTTACATTTTACAGTGAAATAACATTAATATTAGAAAATGTTCTTATTTTGTTCAATATTTTTTATTTAGTAATAATAAGAAGCATACAAAAAAAAAATTATATTAATAAATAACACAACATTTTTGGACAAATTTTGCGGCCCAATCACAATTTTTGACCAAATCACAATTTTTATCAGAAAAATTGCAATTGTATTTTTTTCCCCCCGAAACCGCACAGCGAATTCCATGTTTTCATAAACACTTTCCTATAGTGCACTGAAACTCAGAGAAGCTCACTTAAGATATGAAGATATTGAACGCTATCTTTTCTTGGTGGATCATCATGTGACTTTCAAACCAGCCTATGACAGAATCATACATGTGCACCAATCGAAGAATAAGATATATTTTATATTGGATTTTTTTTTTAAGTTTTATGAGACGACCAGATGCCATGGTGACCTGGAGACTGCCTGGATGAACTTCCCAAGAGACCGAAGACATTTTAATCAGTCTTCAAAGCTTTTTAAGAGTAACAGTCTCCATAGATCACAGGGATTTTATGATGTCTCTTTGTATTCGAAGTGTGCATTCAAACAGCTTTCTATGAGATCTTTGAAGAGACGCATTAGGAGCTGCTCGTTTTAGATAAACAGTCGTGATCTTAACGGCTCAACTGAGACCAGTCTTCTGGGTTCTCGTATAATGGGTCAATTAGGTAAGTGAAGCCTCAAGGGATCTTTCGAGAACACGAGAGCATCTGCTCCCTAGAATATTGTGACTGTGCTTCGTCAGGTAGTGCTGATTTGTAGCTTCTTTTGTATCAGAGAACAAACGATCAATTAACTAACTTCTACAGAAACTCTTTTTAGTCTTAAATTAACGTGTTTGTTTACATAGGATGCATTAGATATTGATTTAGGTGGTATAGAGCCGTTCAAGTCTTAATGTTTGAGGTACGTATGTTGCAAATGAGCACAAGTAATTACAAACTCAAGAAATACAAAGACATAATCTGAAGGAACTTTGTTGTAAGTATAAAAGAGACAAAATAGTTGAATGGTGATGAATTTTGCTTCATGGTAATTTATGGTTGTTCAAATGACCTTGGAATTGTGACCTACAATAGTTGGTGTGATGTTATTTAGCTGCTGTAAGCATTGTCATACAGTCGTAGATTGTTCTGAATGATAAACAGCTAATTAAACAGATTAAATGCACATCAAATTGCCTTTATCTGTTTCATATTTGTCATGTGACTATTTGCAGTTTAAAACTACATCAAATTCAGGGGACCTATTGCCACAGTTTAAATAAATGCACGGTTGCAAGCTAAAAATGTACTGATTTATTTAAACCATTTAAGTTCATTTTAATGTTTCTGTTGATCATTACATCATTAATATTGTGTGAAATTTAAACTCAAATTTCTGCATTAGGGCTGGGCGATATGGCCCAAAAAAATCATATCCCGATATACAGAATTGCGCTATACAGTATAAATCCCAGTATTTTCTACATTTTCCTATTTGGATTCAAAATATATACGGTATGATTATTTTATATATTTATTTCATTTTGTAACACCCTGCCCAATGTTGTCCAATGAAACAACCCCTCAGATCTGATTTGTGCCACCTCAGATTCAATTTGACCCCCTCTAACCCCCAAAACGGACCAAATTCAAATGCTTTGTCTGATGCTATTTAGTGTTTTCAACCACAACATTTATTTGAGGTTTTAGACATTTAAAGGCACAATATGTAATTTTGTGCCACTAGAGGGCGCGTATTCAAAACAAACAAAGAAACAAAGGCGTAGTTTGATGACGCTGTGACTGATTGTGGAATCATGGGAGTTGTCGTCTTCATCCCCACAGCCGAAGCAATCCGACGGGACTCGGGCAGAAATCATGTTCATGGATGAGCTAATGTATTAAAGATTTATTAACATCATAGTATGAAGCAGAGTGAGGCTGAAAGCCGTGGAAGTGAAACGAGGCCGCTGAAGGAGCGTGACACATGGCTCGAAAGCAGCGGAGCTTTTATTGTGCCACAGTCGACCGCTTCCGCTGCTTCCGGAAAGCAGCAGAAGTAAGTGGCGCTGTTTTATCATACTAGATACATTTGAACGTTCTGTTATAATGCTACTCTGTGCGGTCATCACCGGTCTATTAAAACGCACAACATGTTAAAGCGTCTTTGGTGTTTCCATGTTTTCTACAAAACAAAACAAAAAATCGGAAATTGAGGGGTTATGACGTCATTGGCAGGCGACACAATAACACTATAGACACGCTCCGTGTCACTAGTTAAAATTGCTTATTTCTCAGGATTTAAACATTCTTTGAAACATTTGGGATAATGCAAGTACACAAGTCAGCAAAATATATAACACTGTTCTAGTGGTTTTTGGATATTTTAATAAAAAGTTCTTACATATTGTGCCTTTAAATTAATTACTAGCAAAAAAGACATTTGTTAAATACACACTGATGTTTGTGAGTTTGTTAAATACACTGGTGTCTAAGGAAAGCGGCAATAATAATCCTTTCAATTAAAATCTGGCAACGTGTTTTATTCATATAGGTAAAGTTCACTCTATTCTTCTCCTAGGTGACTTACTTTTATGTATTTCGGGAGAAATGGGTGAATTTACGTGATGTTAGACCAAAGATCCAAAACTACAACGACACAGTTGTAACAACTTGTTTTTTTTAGAATATTCAACTTAAAAAATTTGTGTTTATGCTACAAATTATGATGTTCCTCTAAATTAATGTGGTTCATTGGTTGAACATAATTTTATTAGAAGTTGTCATAACTCAAAAAGATTGATGCAAACTCTAAATTTTATTGATGGCTTTACAAATGAAAACTGTTTGGTTCTAGCTCATGATGTATCATCTGCGGTATAGGCCGAGCTCCCGTGGTTCTGTTTGTCAGCCACGAGAGCTCATTTATTATACCTCCAACCATTTATCCACTTCAGATAGCATTCCGTCACAACAGCTTCATTAGGTTTTGTACTTGAGTGGTTTAATAGTGGAAATTATTTATGGTACAGTATGTGATTCCGCCTTGTCTTACCTGCATTGTCTATTATCTTTAATCTGTATCCTTTAGTCTGAACAAACTGATGTTGTAATAAACATCTGTCAAAGATAAGGGAAAACACAGAAGATTACATAAGGGTAGCAAATGGTTTTCATAATTAGTTAGAGTTTGATGCTTTCCATTATGCAATATTACAGAGAACGGAACATATTTATAGTGTACAGCGTTAAGGAGATTATGGAAATATGAAAAACATTACAGTTTATAATGTGAATTTAGATATTGTAAAAAATTACAACTTTACAGAGAGGTAATGTAAAATGTTACAGCATTAAAATTATATAAGGTAAATATTTACAGCATCCTTGTGATGCAATGTTTTTTTTTTATTTTTTATATATATATACTATTATAGTATTTGTTAATATTTTGAATTAGCTTTTATTTGACATTTTCTATTTTAATTTTAAAATGTCATTTTCTGTACAGTGTTACAATAAGATAACACTTACAAAATCACAATGAGGTAAATTACAGTGTTACAGTGAGATAATGCAAATATTTACAGTACTTCAGGACTTTTTTCCATTCCTGTCTGTTTCGGATAGAAATTGTCCCAATGACAGGGCTCAAAGCCAAAACTAATGAAGACACAGTTGTTCACTGGATACTGTAGACACAAACAGAGTTTAAACTGGATCAATGGCATCATTCACCCGTCCCTTATTAACATTCCCTGAC